GCAAATAAAACCGGATAAAACATGCCAATTCTGACGAATTATATTTTTTTAAAGTGCTTAAAAATATTTTTTGTGTACTTAAAAGGTGCTTATTTTTTGTTGAAAAATTTGGCTTCGCACCCTGTGCAGATTTTGAGCAGTAACGTATCTACTAGATGCTGTAATGGTGTGTGTATCTTTTTAAAAGAAAGATTTAATAAATATGTGTTATTTTCCCTTGCCTTTTTTTCCCCCATTAGGAACTTTATTAAGAACTGAGTATAATCATTAGAGGACAAAATCTTGGACTTAAGGGTCCGTGACATTTGTTAACTTTTCAAGATTCTCTTTATATTCTATATATGCTAAACGGTAATGTAATTTTGTAAAAAAAAATAGTAATTTTGAATTTCATTATTCTAAATTTATACGGCCTGTAAACTGTTGACTTTTAATAGTTTTTCAATAAAGATTAATTTTAAAAAAATTAACAAAGTATTTGAGGCAAATGGATGACATCACATGCAGTTATTAGAATTATTGTTTATTCTTAAAAAAAAATTGATTTGTGAATTTTAAAAATAATATAAAATGCTATATTCCTTTTCTTAAATAGCTGTATGAATTTTTTAATGTGCATCTTAAACATGGATTTTAAACTTTGTCCATTGTGTTAAATATGCATTTGAAGCTGTGTCCATTTTCTTATACCTGCATTTTGAAGTGTGTCCAGAACATAAAAAGATCTCCATTGTTATTTTGGTTTTTGAATATTTTATTTTCAAAAAGAATTACAAATAGAAATGAAAATATAGTAATACATGAATGAAATATGAGGAAGATCTTCAAAAACAGACAGAAATTAAACAGTTGCATATCATTTTGAAAAAGTAACTAAATGGACAAATACCAACTGTGATTTTGTGTACTTGTTATAACAAGTCAAATGCACCAAATATTGTAGAGGAGATGTGAAAAATAAGATATGCTCCCCATGGCAGGCCCGTAGCCGGGGGGGGGACCCCCCTGCCTTCAGCTTATTAGAGACAGTGAAATCAACCTTCAATGGAAAAAAAAAGAAAGAAAAGAAAAACCAAATTATTTAATAATTAAAAAAATACCTTGTTCTTGAAAAATGCAGTCAACCCCATTTAAAGGAATACCATCGGTTCTAACCAAACCTAAGCAATTAATGTAGTATTCAATCTTACCCATGGCAGGCCCGTAGCCGGGGGGGGGGGCCTGCCTACAGCTTATTAGAGACAGTGAAATCAACCTATAATGGAAAAGAAAGAAAAGAAAAACCAAATTATTTAATAATTAAAAAAATGGTTAAGAAGTATTATAGACAAATACTTTTGTTTGTACTAAAATGTATTTAGTTTCTGCTTTAGTTTTTGCAAAATCTTTTAACTTTTTCTTGACAAATGCAGTCAACTCCATTTAAAGGAATACCATCGGTTCTAACCAAATCTAAGCAATTAATGTAGTATTCAATCTTATTGCAAAATTTTACTTTTTAATGGTATTTAATGCATAGTAGAGCATTTTGATTTTTTTTTTAAAAAACTCAGTTTTATGATCCATAATTAATTATAATAAAAACTGTCTGTATTAGTACAAACATAAAATATTAATGTAATTCAAAGTTACATAAAAATAAATCAATGTTAGGGAAAAGTAAAGAATGGTTAGTAAAATATTATTTAATCCCTCCTGAAAAATCTATAATTGAAAACTGTTTTTATACCCGTTTAAATTTTCAATTTATCAAAATTAGATTTTCAGTTTCAATTGAAACTTTTATGACTTGCATGTTCCTTTCAATTACATTCCGAATTTTTTTTAAAACTTTTTTGTTTCAAATCATCTAAAATTTAGAAATTCCAATTTAATGCTTTATTCTAGCTTGGGATATTTTTTAATTTATTGTTTCAAAGATTCATTTTTTTTTCTCTTTTCAATTAATTTAAATCATTCCTTTTTGCACTCAACTTGCAACTTACTCAGAGTTATTATTCACTGGACTAAGCAATGATTACTCTACTTAAGAGAAAAATGCGTTGTACACTAGTGTGTGAGAAATCTGAAACGTTTTGTTATCAAAGCTTATAGCGCACCAGGAGGGAACCAGAGCTAAAAAAAACAGCCCGTCCTCGACAGTCAAAAATTCTCCGAATTTCGGACGACGAATTTCTCGAATCCGACGTCCGCTCGGACGGCCATTTTCCCGTTAATGTTCGTGATACATTTTCAATTTTTGTTATCTTGCAAGAGTCTTGCAAGTTACAAGGCAGCAAAATGACCCACAATACAGCAACATACTGCGCATGTTGGAATTGATGTTTTCTCTGTCTGGGAGTACTGCAGCGGTTGAAAGGGGCTTTTCAGCAATGAACTTACAAAAAAGCACATTACGTACTTGTCTTAAACAAGAAGCTTTAAAGGCAATTATGAACATCTACCTAAATGGAAAACCCCTTTCAGATTTCTGTGCAGAAACCTCTGTAAATCATTGGCTTGATTGTGGAACTGGCAAACGTCATATTTGATTCATTTAAAAAACGCAGTACCCTCGGATAAATTGACATTCCAGATAACTTGACCTTTGTCATTTAAATTATTTCATAAAAGAAATAAATTATTTCATAAAAGAAATACTAGGTTACTATTAGTAACCTAGTATTTCTTTTATTACTGTATAATGTAATCCTAGTAACGACTAATTCATTGTGCAATTTATATAAATGTTTGTTATAAGCAGGAGAAAATTATATTTTTATTTACTTAAAAGCGATGGGTTAGTTTCAACGGAGGACGGGTGCATTGTTGGACAAGCCATCCTCAGGGACGGGTAAAATTTCTGAGTTTTTTCGAGCCCTGGAGGGGACCATAAGTTTTGACCCCAAAACAAATCTGTTCTGTACCCTTTTTTACATTCTAAATAATGTGTGAGGGAAGTAAGTCAAAGAGGGGTAGAACCCCCCTTGTTTACTGCAACTTATAACTGGCAGCAAAATTTGATTAATTTTTCAACTTTACCCCTGACACCTGTTTAGACCAACTAATGAACAGGAAGACCCTTTGGAAGTGACCACCTATTGTGCCTTTGTAACTGAAATTCCATTTTTAACTGAAAAGCATTTCTCAAAAATAAAAATTTCATTTCAATATCTCTTCTTTATGCAATTAGGTGGGGACAAAAAAAAAATATCCATTGAATCGAGGAAGTTTAACATTATTTTCATATGAAGTGATTTGGTTTCATTAAATTTTATTCGTATAAGCGAATTATTATTCAATTATCTGATATGCAATCGAGTGGTATTTATATATGTATTTAAACCAGAGTCCATTTAGGCATTTTTCAGTTCTCAAGTAGTTTCTTTTTAAATATTTCAGAATTGTAAATGGCCTTTTGGCAGTACAGTTTAGTAGAAAAGTGATAACCAAAATTCCATTATTTTGTTATTGCTTAACACATTGAATGCCATGCTAATTTTACATAACTTGCCCATCATCTTGCCAAGATGATTTTCTCAGTATGTATTGCCTTAATTTCCTCAAACAATTTTCATAACGACAATAATATTAAGAAAATAAAAGCATTAAAAATTCACTCTAATTATGTGTTTCTAATAATTTTGGCTTTGCCGGTCACCGATGACCCCCGTGGCGCTACGAATGAACTCAGTGTTGGTCACTAGTGATTCCCGTGGCATTCAACGTGTTAAACTTACCATTGATATCATATACTTTTATAACTGTATTATTTATTATTATATAGGGGTAATTAAAATCATTATAAATTAAATTTATAAATTCAAGTAAGAATAAAAGAGAATTTACAACCACTTTTGCTTTTTCGCTTTCAAATTAAAATTTATTCATAAGAAATTTTTTTTTTAAAAATAAAATTTTTCTGTTTCTCTAAAAAATTATTTTAACCTGCTCTGAAAATTAGAGTTCATGTAAAAATCTACAATAAAATAATTTGGCTGAACATGTGTAAAAATACAGTTTCTTTTTTTTCAGATTTTTTCTTTAAAGTTGAATACGTTGCCCAGTATTTCATGACACTTGAATTTAACCTATGATAATAGCCACAGAAAGGTTGTCTACATCTTCAAATTTTCTTCTACTGCAAGTATGAAAAATTGAAAAAATGAATTTTCACTGCCGAATGACTAAAATAACATTGAATGGTATTTTAATATGATATTTCTATGTTATTGATTCAATAATTCGATTGTAAAATATGTATGTATGTATCGATTATAACTTAAGTACTTCTCTTGTGTAAATGCTGCTAATAACTTAAATACTACTTTCAGAATATTTCAATATAATTTATAGTAATATTCGCTTTCACCTGCTACTCAGGCAAACATAACCCTTTTAAATGTTTGTTGCCACTTTTTGAAATATCTAATTTAGCCTGGCACAAGACAGTACAACCTAATAAAACATAATAATTATAGTTCATGTAAAAGTTTTCAAGATAATTTGGCTAAATTTAAGTTGATTAAGGTTTACAGTCAGTATGAGTTTGAAAGACAGCAACTTACTTAATATCCATGCAGATCTGGAATCTTTTTCTTGTAGCATATGTTATAATAGTTTTTCAGATAGAAGTCATCTTACTGAGCATAGTCTCGTTCATACTAGTCAGAAACCTTATTCTTGTATAGTATGCAATAAATGCTTTTCATTAAAGAGTAATCTGATTGAGCATACTCTCGTTCATACCGGTGAGAAACCTTATTCTTGTAATGTATGTAATAAAAGTTTTTCACTGAAGAGTTCACTAACTAGACACAGTCGCACTCATACTGGTGAAAAACCTTATTCTTGTAGTATATGTAATAAAAAATTTTCATGTAGGAGTAATCTGACAGAGCATAGTCGCATTCATACTGGTGAAAAACCTTATTCTTGTAGTGTGTGCAATAAAAGTTTTTCATATAGGAATTATCTGACTGAGCATCGGCGCACTCATACTGGGGAAAGACCTTATTCTTGTAGTGTATGTAATAAAAGTTTTATATCTAGGAGACATCTGACTGAGCACAGTCGCGTTCATACTGGTGAGAAACCTCATTCTTGTAGTGTATGTAATAAAAGTTTTTTATATAGGAGACATCTGACTGAGCATAGTCGCATTCATACTGGTGAAAAACCTTATTCTTGTAATGTTTGTAATATGACTTTTTCACGGAAGCAGCATCTAACTAGACACATTCGCATTCATACTGGAGAAAAACCTTATTTTTGTAATGTATGTAACAAGTATTTTTCTCAGAAGCAAGAACTATCTAGACACATTCGTATTCATACTGGAGAGAAACCTTATTCTTGTAGTGTGTGTAATAAAAGTTTTACGCGAAAGTCTGCATTATCTGTCCACAGTTTTGTTCATACTGCTAAATAGTTTTTATTTTTGTAAAAATAGGAATAAAAGTTTTATTTCTTCATTACATCACTTTCATTGTGTTTTGAAATCTCACTCTTGTAGTTACTATGTAAAAAGATTCTTCAAAGATAAATATTTATCTGCCTACAGGCAAATTGAAAAGTGTCACCAGTGAGGAATCTTAATTTTGAAGTTAATTCTTTGTCGCACGATTAATATGGTCATGACATAGTAACACCCTTATGCAACCAAAATCCGCTTATTCGGTTTGATATCTTCGAAACAGTTTGAAAGTGCTAACTCAAACGTAACATCAGATCACTATAGAAGTAAAAGAGTTGTCCATAAAATAAGCTTATTTTTTTTTCTTTCTGTAAGTCACGTGCGGTGTATTTTTCCAACGCCGATGAAAAAATTAATACTCGTTTTTAAATACAGTCAAACCCCGCTATAGTGAACCTTCAAGGTACCGAAATTTCTGTTCACTATATCCGTTATGCAGGCAATTTAGCTAATGGTTCCCAAACTCTTCCCTTTTATTACACATTATTCAAATAAATGACTGAAAAATATTATGCAGTAGCAAAAATGTGTTATTTTTTATTACTTGTCTTGCGTACAAAAAAAATTTAGTAATCTTCTGCTGATGAGCAGATCTCAACATCAGATATGGAAACACTTCCTGACTCTCAGATACTTTTTCCTGAATTTCTGTTATTCCACTTTTTTAACCTGTCTAACCCGCCATTCGAGCACATAAAAGTAGTCTCATAAAATCGCTTAGCAAATTAATCGACATTTGTTCAGATACTGAAGGATTGCGGCTTCTTTGAATGCGAACCACTTCAGTAATGCTTCTTCAACATTCTTGTGATCTGCTTTTCTCAACTTTTTTCTGTCATCTAAATTTTTTTCATGAGCAGAAATTATTAATTGCCTATTTTTCCGTATGTTACTAACTGCAGATTTGGATAGTTTTTATTCCCTGCAAATATCAGCTGGATTGCATCCATTTTCAGTTTTTCTGATTATGCCCATTTTATCATCAATGTAGAACGTTTACTGCTCGCCATAGTTAAATTTGAGACACTTGCTTGCAGGCTTTTTTTTAACTAAATTGAGAGCAAAAAGTAGTTGAAATGAGGGCCTTATCAACACATATTGGTGTCCAACCTTTTGACCAATAATGAATAACTAGTGGGCTGCGCCCCCTGCTCGCTAACGCTCGCCAACCCCCGAAAATTGCTACGCAAACCAAGCTGGCTACTAACTTAGATGCATTGCAAATGCACGAAATTCTAAGAATTCAAAACAATCATTCAAATCCATATAACAACTACTTTTTTTTTAAAAAAAAAATTACATCTTTTTAGTAAATACTAAGTCATTAAAATAAATTTGAATTCAAATAAATGACATGTAATTCGTTAAACCTATTACAAATGTGCTGTAGTATAAAATCGTCAAACAAATTCGTAATATATAAATTCGTGAAAAAAAGCGCTTTCGACAAAATACTAAAATAGAGATCCATCGACTAAGACTACTCACTTCTGCCTAACTTAATAGTATGAGATTGCCGCAGCTGATAGGGTGAATTTCGGAAGAGATCTCTCTGGTTATTTCAGTTTCCGTTTTTAAAAGAGCTATATGTTGAGCCATCTCAGCTAGATTTGGCATGTGACATTTTTAGCGGCAATCATTGGTCGATTTTCTAGAAATGTTCTAAAAACTGAAATAAC